TATATATATATACTGTTTTTTCTGCACATCTTAATGCAACATGTAAAACTATGACAGCCTGTAGAAATTATCAGATTATACACTGTAATATATTACTGGTATATATAATTAGACACTTTGTTTCCTGCAAACCTTCAGCATTATACAGTATATATATTCTTGCAAACCTTCAGCATTATACTGTGTATATATAGATATACACAGTATATATAATACCTGTTTGTCTCACTTATAAACTTTTGGGGGAATTCCAGTAAAATTTCGTGTAAACATGGATGAAAGTGAAAGCAACTGTTTTTATTTTCTCTTCTTGTTTAGTTCTGAGCTGCAGTCAGCTGGTTGGTCCACCTCAGGGCAAAACTAAGAACTGAATTTAATAAAATTATAAATCACAACAATCATTCTGCAGTTTCATTAACAATTAAAGCTGCAGGCAGCGTTGGGYGGCCCTCGCAGCTTGAGCACCGCTCTGGCCAAGTAACCATAACCAATTGGTAGGGAACCCCTCAAAACCATCAAAAACCCTAYAAAAGSGGCCTAGGAGGGCTGAAAACCAATCAAWACTGAAATTCAAAATGGCCGACATGTCATTTTGCRTTTTKAATCATCTCGGTTTCACAAGCAGTGGTCACTGATGACACACACATTTGGTTCAGATTGGATGACGTACAGTATCAGTGAGCTATAAATATTTATCTGTTCTAGGTGGCGCTGTTGAGTCAAACTCCAATGTAATCCTAYAGTCTTRTTCAGAGGTTATCAAAGGTCATACATTTCCAGTTTGGAGCAAATCGGATCATGCATGTGTGATTTAGAACCAAACGTATGCAAACGGTGAGGCATCATCATTTGCCAATTGGTCACGYCCACAAAATCCAGCCAACAGTCAGTGTTGAGATGATGTCATCTGTCAGAGAAGCTCTGAGTTCAGATCATGTTGTGTGTTTCGTCTTCACCTCCCTGGGACGTGATGAACCCTACCTGYCTGCTTTATCAGACCACCTGAGAGGAACCAAACCTGCTGATCCAGATCCAAACAGCCAGGATGTAGAGAAGGAACAGTGGTACGCCTCAAAGGAAGTGATGGAGGAGATGAGGAAACAAGTGAAACTCKTCAGTGATTTTGCCGAAGCCAACCAGGAGAAGAAGAACATGAAGTTCCTGACAGTAGGTTTAACTGATGAGTAACACAAAGGTTACACCATCTACCTTTATAAAGATGGCTTCACTGTCAGGAGTTCATAAAAAGTGTTCAGCTGATGGAAGATCTCCAGTGGAAACAGCTGAGGACATCAGGAGAGAAGATGATCCTCTCAGGTCTTCAGACAGAGACTGTATAAACAGTCAGGGTCAAATGTGACYGTGGAGAAGCTGGAAGAATCAAAGAAACTCAAACTGTTTCTTTCTGCACAACGAAATTCACCCAAACTTCAGAATGGCTCAGATCAACTCTGGACCTCCTCCAGTCTACAAGCTGCCTCTGACAGAAGAAGACAAGAACATCCACGGCTGCAGAAGGTTTACCTTTGGTGAAAAATCCATCAAAACYAATCGTACCATCATCTCAGAGCGAGAGGATCAGGAAAGTCTACTCCCATCAATGGAATGATCAACTACATCGTTGGTGTGGAGTGGGAGGACAGGCTTAGGTTCAGAATGATTCATGAGGACCACCAGACCTCTGAAGTCTCTGTGTACCAGGTCTACCACCAGCAGGGTTTCAGAACTGAATACTCCCTGACCATCATCGACACTCCAGGCTTTGAAGACACCAGAGGAATAGACACCATGACAGAGAGACCTCTGAGCAGCTATGTGACCTCTTCTCCTCTCAGAACGGTGTCAGTTCAATAGATGCTGTGTTTTGTAGCTCAGGCTGCTTCAGCTCCACTTACACAGAAATATGTGTTTGATTCAATTCTCTCAATCTTTGGCAAAGATATAGGAGAAAACATCAGGATGCTGGTGACGTTTGCTGACGGTCAGAAGCCTCCAGTTCTGGAAGGAATCGATGAGGCAGAAGTCCTGTGTCCTAAAACCAAAGGTGTGCCGGTTCACTTCAAGTTCAACTCAGCTCTGTTTGCAGACAACACAGCTGCTGCTGCAGACAGCATGAGTGATGAAGATGGTGATGATGATGAAAACATTGATCAGATGTTCTGGAAAATGGGGACAAAGAGCATGAAGAGGTTTTTTCTGCTCTGAACAAAATAGAAACCAAAAGTCTGACCATGACCAAGGAGGTCCTCAGGGAGAGGCAGCAGCTGGAGGTTTCAATTTGTGAAACTGTGTTTGGCGACATCAGACAAACAACAATTGAAGATCACGATGCAGAGATCAGCAGAAATGAGAAATTTGAGTTTTATGTTGATGTCAAGAAGCCTGTTCAAATAGATATCTCTGGTTCTGGAAACTTCATCACCAACTGTCAGGTGTGTAACATCACCTGTCTTTACCCCTGTGCCATACCAAATGAAGATGATAAAAGAGGATGTGCAGCAATAGTTTGTGATGGATACTGTAATGTTTGTCCAGGGAAATGTTTCTGGAATAACCATTTTAATCAGAAGTACAGGTGGGATTATCAAACTGTCAAAGAAAAACGAACAATTAAAGAACTGAAAGAAAAACATCAGAAAGCCACAGGAGAGAAGATGACAGTTCAGAGTGAGCTGAACAAACTGATGAGTGATTATAAAAGAATGGAGCAGGAGGTGGTGAGACTGAAGGAACAGTCTTCAAAGTGTCTGAACACTGAAAGAGATCACCCTGAAGCCCAACCCTATCTCCACCCCCGAGTACATCGACCTGCTGATCGGCTGGAAGGAGCGAGTCGAGTCTCTGACGAGGTTGAGATTGAGACAAAATGCAGAGCTGATGGCAAAARTAGAGGAGAGAAACCCCTGGTTCACCAAACCTTTGTTGATGTTCAGTGATCTGCTACAATCAGTTCAGCTCAGATCATTTCAGATCATCAGCTGATCTTAGCTCCAACTCTAGGTTTTAACGCTCCCCACCGCTTCAAGTCCTCCACCAAATTAACTGTTTCATCGACTCCTGTCCTTCAGCTTTTAATCACCGTTCCTTTTCAAGAAAAGTAAACTTTACATTTTCTTTTTCCACCTGGTGTCTCTGGGTCCATGAGGAACAGACTGATTTTAAAAAAAGACCAACCTAAAGTCCAACATGAGTTCAGGTCTGAAACACTTTTAAATGAGCTGTATTATATTTGAAGTTCTTTAAAACTTGTTCATCATTCTGATAAATCTGCTTTTATTGTGTTGAGCTACATTTAGTTCTAAGTTTTTATTCTGTGTAATTTCTGAGGAGAATGGAGATTATTGTAACATCAGACATGAATGGAGATTATTGTAACAGCAGCTGAGGTGAGCAGAGCTTCTGAAACGAGCTGCCAGCCAACATCAGACAGGACAGCTCACTTCCTGTTTATTAATCCTCATTTAAAACTACTTTTTAAAAATCTCTTCAGCTTTTAATTCAATTTAACATGTTGGCATTTATTGTTCTTATTTAAACTGTTTTGTATTATTTTAAAATGTGCTGCTTTTATTCTCGTTTTACAACTTGGTGAATCTAAATCTGGTGGTTTTTACTTTCTTCTGTTGGTGTAGATTTGACTACTGCTAATGTTTTTGAAGTGCTTTATAAATGAATTTTATTGAATTATAACTCTCTAAACTTGTTGAACATGGTGACTCTTTGTTCCGTTTTATAACTGACTTTTCATTTGCTTCAGTTATAAAAAGAGGAGCTGATGGGAATGAATCAAACTGAAGAAATGTTTGAAACTGAGCTGTTAAAGACAACAGAAGTCAAATAAAAGACTAAAGTAGAACACTAGCTAAAAGTAGCAAAAGGCTAGCTAAAATTGGTAGCTTTTAGCTCACCAGTAAAGTGAATGAAATAAAAATTCTCTCATATTTAAAGTTTTGACAAATAAAACAATTGTAGGAATCCTAACAGACTTAAACCAGCTCAATGATGGAGTCAGAGTCAGAAACAGGAGAGTTTTCTCCACTTCACAGTTTTAATGACTTTTCTCCCACATTAATGGTCACAGTGTTTGTGTTGAACAACAAAAAGTCCCAACAGTCCATCCAAGTATTTACATCCACTGATCCTGGACCTGTCAGCCTCACAGGACCACAACTTTGACCTAAACATTAGAGAAACACAGAAACTTCAACAGGTTTCTTCTGACTCCAGCTGCCGTTTTAAATCCTAACTTATAAAAACTAAATAAAGTAAACATGAAGCTTCTTATATCTGCTGCAACAAAAACTCCTGCACTGCGCTGAAACACGGCTCCTAACAGAGTTCTGAAGAGCAAACTGAAAAAAGACTTGATTGTTCCGCAGAAACAAGTCGAGTTTATAAAACAGGAAGTAGCTGAACACAGAAACAAGTCAAGTTTATAAAACAGGAAGTAACTGAACACAGAAACAAGTCGAGTTTATAAAACAGGAAGTAACAGAACACAGAAACAAGTCGAGTTTATAAAACAGGAAGTAGCTGCAGGAATCTAAGGTCTTCAGAGTCCCAGCAGCATCAAAGTTAGCTTGTCTCCAGCAGCTTCCTTCAGTCTTTGTCTTAGTTTAAACTGGGCAGGATGGAAACTAAAAGGTGGGTGGAGCCTGTCCACAACAATCAGACGGAGACGCCCCGGGACCCCAGCGGCCCCCCTCAGATCCCCAGGTCCAGCTGGATCCTGTGCTCGAACAGAGCGATGAGCAGCATGATGCAGAAGCCCAGCAGGATGCCGGCGTTCTGCAGGAGGAAGAAGCCACAGTGGCTGAAGCCGTGGTCGCCGGCGTCGTTGTGCAGCATCTCCGGCACCTGGAGGGGGCAGAGAGAGGGGGCTCACAGAACACGGACCCCTGGAGTCTGGACTGCAGCACAAAGCCTTCCTCAGTCCTGCTGCTGTTGGCTCAGACTGTCCACATGTCCTCACTCTGCTGCTGTCTGTAGTCCCTGTCCTCTACAGGCTGCTTCTCATTTCTTCTTCTTTCTGTCTCCTCCAGAGGAGAAGACAGCTGGACCAGTTTCTCTTTCCTGTCCCACACACCTAGCCTGTCCTGATCCTGGTTCTGGTTCTGCTGGAAGTTTCTTCCTGTTAAAGGAGYTCTTCACACATATCTTGTGTGTCTCCTGATCATCAGAGGCTACTGGGAGGAAACTCCTCGTCTCACAGAAAACATGTGACCCGTCTCATCRAAACGAGGATTAAGTCTAAAAGTTGTTTGTGGAGAAATGGGCAGATAGTGTTTTGATTAAAATGCTTGCAAAAATTACATTTTGTCAAAATATTACAAATAAATATGTTATCAATGTCTCATTTCAATGAACTGTCTGAAATATCCAAAAAAAAAAGGGTTTTTTGAAGCATTTTTTCAGCAGTAGCAACCAAAACCAGATTTTGAGGAAAAAACGCCTTAAAATGTTGAGATTTTCCCTGTGAGTTAGCAATGTTTTTGTTTCTTTCCAGCTGGGAAATCTTTATATTCAATTACTATTTGAGGTTTCTTTTTTTAAGTGACATAAGAAATCCTCATTAAAATTACATAAAATTAGGATTTTGACCAAATATTTATGTATTATTGTAACCAACAAGACAAATTAAGTCATATGGATTTACTTATGATATCAGGATGATCCAGGGATCAAAACATAGCTTTTAAAACCAGGAATCTGAAATATGATTAGGCAATTTTAACCAAATTTGACTTAATCCTCATTTCGATGAGATGGGTCACATTTATTTGATGTTCAGATTGTTTTAAATAAATGTGACACAGATGTGATAAACCTTTCTGCTCATGGCTGCATGTAAAGAATTAGTGCTGGCTTAGATTAACATTTTAATTACCATTAATCTCAAGATATTTTTGTTATTAATCAGAATTCAATTTAAAGAAACGATCACTCTACTAAGGCTGAATGTATAGGTTTGTGTGCTGAAATACACTCCATGTGTGACACACTWTGTACAGATTTTATCTTAGTTTTCTTTTTAAATTCTTATATATATATTTTGCTGACAGCTGGACCTGAGTATCTGTCTGTCATCATGTAGTTCTCATTAGGGGAAAAATCCTATCATGTGCAGTTAATAGTCAGAAACGACACCAGGAGGACTGACTGGAGATTTCCACTGTGTGTGTGTGTGTGTGTGTGTGTGTGTGTGTGTGTGTGTGTGTGTGTGTGTGTGTGCGTGCGTGCTGCCTCCCTCTGCAACACACTGCAAATATGACCAACATTTTAAAAGAAGTTCTGTAAATGACTTATTCTAACTTCAGTTTTACTTGGTCCATCAACACAATTTAAAAATGCATGTATAGTTTGAAGTCTTATTAAAGCTTGAAGACTATTAAAAAATGAGACAATGCACTTTAAAAAACTTAAATAAGGCAAAGCAAGTCGGTCTCACATTTTTATTTTTATTTTTTCTCTAACAGGCCGACAGTTTGAGCTGCAGCAGGATGCTGACACCTGCTGTCTGGTCCACAATAATTCATCCTGAACACAAGCAGCCCTTCTGTACGGAGGACTGAATGTGACACAATTAGAAATAAAAGCAGAAATATATAAATAGGCCAGTAAATAAATAAATAAAATAAATACACTTAAAATGCACCAATTAAATGAAAAAAGAACTTTACCTCATGTTTTATCATTTAACTGAACTTTATATATATTTTTCCAGCTTAGTTCTAATAAATTATACCACATAATTTACATTTTACTGCTTTTAAAAATATATATTTTTGTATATTTTTGAGTTCATCATTTTCTTTAATGATCTGCAGGTCCAGGTGTTCCTGCAGCTGTCATATTATTAAATCTAAACAAACGGACCGTTCATCCATCATTCCATCAATTTGAACTTTGATTTTAGATTTTTCACTTGTTCTGATGTAAATAAATGAACTTTGACCTCTCCACACTGCATCGTTAGGGTTGTAAATGTTGGTCCAGACTCACCATGTCCACCAGGGCCACGTACATGAAGAGTCCGGCCGTCAGGGCGAAGATCCACATGCAGATGTTCTCGGCGTAGTGTCCGATCACAATGCCCGTCACCATGCCCAGGTAGGCCATCATGGCCGACAGCACGTTGTAGAGAATGGCCTGACGCACCGTCATCCCCGCCTTCAGCAGCACCGCAAAGTCACCTGGAGAAACCCAACGCAGCTCGTCTCACGTGAAGGAAGGAGGTTTTCAGACTCGGTCACAGAGAGGTTCTGGTTCACTCCGAACGACCCAAGTTTACAGTTTTTCATTTATATTGTGTGGATCAGGGGTCTTACCCAACTCATGAGGCAACTCATGGCAGAAAACAGCCACAGATGTGCTGAGACCACTGGACAGACTCTCAGTGAAAGCAGCTCCTGCAGAAAGATGCAATAATTAACCGTGCATCAGATAAAATGATCCTAAAAATATAAACAAGTATAAAATATAAACAAATATAAAATATAAACAAATATAAAATATTCTGACTGCCTCATCAGTTTCTGAGTTTCCCGCTCAAACACCAGCTGCTCACCGATGGCGAGGCCGTCGCTGAAGTTGTGCAGCCCGTCTCCCATGATGACCATCCAGGCCAGCGTGGCCACGCCCGCCTGCTGGAAGTGCTTCTCTGAGTAGGAGTGGGAGTGGCTGTGGGGGTGGTGGTTCTGGGAGTGGTGGTGGTGCAGGATGTGGTGGTAGTCGTGGTGGTGGTGGTGCATGCTGTCGGCCTGGCCCACCGTGTCGTGGAAGTGGGAGTGGCACTTGTTCTCGCAGTCCTCGTCRGTGTAGTCGTCGGAGCCCGAGGGCCGGTCGTAGCCCTGCGGCGGCGAGATGACGGACACCTGCGGCGCCAACATCACCTGCTCCTCCTCCGCCACGCCGCCGCTCAGAGGCTCGCCAAACATGCCGGCACCGTTCGTCTCCAAGTCTGCAGGCGGGAAAACAAAAACCACAAACTGAAGTAAAGAGACGGATCTTTGAGGGCTAACGGTTTGATTTACTTCCTGTTTTACTATGATCAGTTGTGCTTTTATTTTGAAAATGGAGGAAGTTAACTGTATTACCGGGCTATCTAAAAGTTAGATGTAGCAAAACTGTACCTGAAAGCTAAATGTAGCAAAAGTCTAGTTAAAATATAAATGTATCACAAAGCTAGCTAAACCTTAAATGTAACCAAAGTCTAGTTAAAAGCTACAAGTATCAAAACATCTAGCCAAAAGTAGCAAACGTCTAGCTAAAAGCTAAATTATCAAAACTCTAGCTAAAACTGAATATAGTAAAAAAAAACTAAATGTAATCAAAGTCTAGCTAAAAGCTAAATGTTTCAAAACATCTTGCTAAAAAGGTAAATTTGGCAAACGTCTAGTTAAAGGCTAAATGTATAACAAGGCTAGCTAAATGTTAAGTGTAACAATATTCTAGCTAAAAGTTATATGTAGCAAAACTGTAGCTGAAAGCTAAATGTAGCAAATGTCTAGTTAAAATATAAATGTATCACAAGGCTAGCTAAACCTTTAATGTAACCAAACTCTAGTTAAAAGCTACAAGTATCAAAACATCTAGCTAAAAGCTAAATGTAGCAACCATCTAGCTAAAGCTAAATTATCAAAACTCTAGCTAGAACTATGTGTTGTAAAAGGCTAGCTAAAGGTTAAATGCAGTGGTGGGTAGGAACGCGTTACTTTTACTCCTTTAATCAAGTAGCTTTTTGGGGAAATTGTACTTCCTTGAGTAGTTTTWTTGTGAACGACTTGTACTTTTACTTGAGTAAATTTTAGGGGCGAATAGCGCGACTTTTACTCCTTTACTATTGACTTTGTGCTGATCGCTACCATTACTTTTGTTTTTTTAGTAAATAAACATTTAGCAGTGAAATTATAGGTAACAGGAAGTCACGCAAACATGTAACCAATCAAGTGGCCAAATGCTAATAAAAAAAATGCAGAAGAAGAAGAACCAATCAGATGAAGCCGGCCAGTCACGTGACCACAAACTCGGCACAGTGCAAGTACTGGTTCTGTTGATGAGGAGATTCTGGACCAGTTGAAGAAAGACGGACAGTACAGAATGGTGACAGAAAAAGCTGGTGAAGAGGAATTAGAGCACCCCTGGCCTCACATACGAGCAACGTTCACCTTACAATCTTCTAAAAAGAACAGGTACATCATGCGCTGTCAGCTGTGTCTGCCAAAACTTGTAGAGATCTCAGCCTACATGAACTCAACGTTGAATTTGAGGAAACATGTTGCAGTAAGTTTGCCATATATTTTTTACTTATTTGTGTAATGATGTGAGTTTTATTACAACAGCATGCATAACTTTAAAAAATGTATATGACGTGGCTATTAAATGTTACACGGTTCAAACTCCACATGAGCACACATTAGCAAATTGCTGCTAACTTAGCTAAAAACAATTAGTTTTCTAGTACAAATTGAGATGATTTAGAGGTGTTTACATTTCGCCAGTAGCTGCTGGCATTTTTTCTCCCAAACTGCTGTGAYTGGATTGCGTGACGCTGCTYTCAGTGTTTGCTTGTTATTTCCTCCCGCTCCGTTATTTCTACGGATTTCAACAAACGGTGCTAGGATACAAGTCAAGATGCTTCCTACAAAAACCAGAATGTGAATCTTTTCCTAAAATTTCATGTCGATATCTTGAACTCTAAGCAAGTTATGAGCAGAAACAGTTAAGGTGAAATGGTCACAAAGCCTCCATTGGTTTAGCTATGAACTGCAGTAAGAAATTATGAGTTTCACAAACAGCGGGAACAGCTGATCAACATGAGGTAAATGTTTTCTACGTCAGACCTGATTCGAAAAAAATGTTTCTATCTCTCCTTTTGCGCATTAACTCTTTTTAAAAAACCACCTCAAGCGAGCGTATCAACTTTGATGCAAATTAGAGGAAGTTGTTTCGAATCATACCGTTTCCATCCACCTTCTCTGATGCCATACTTCAAAATGCGCATTAAAAAACCTTGATGGAAGCACGACTAGAGACAGTTACCGACATGTGAAGTATGGATTTAGCAGGGCGGTGTCGAAGGCTCCAGGTACAGTTCATGTCTGGAGCAGCAGCTCTCTGCAAAAAACTCTGCCATTGTTTGGAGGAGGCTGAGAGGCCCGGAGAACTCACCCTCTCTACAGGCAATCCTAAAACTTGCTAATGACCTGAACAACTTCTATTCATGGTTTAAAGTCATSGACTCCCACCCCTCCACCCCTCACACCACTCTGAGTTCAACCACTTTGCATTACACCTACCCCCCAGGGTGGACTGTGGGGGAGCAGGTCGCATCACAGCAGACTCTTCTCACCCTGCAAATTCCTAATCTGTGAATCCTGTTCATTGACAATAAAACTGATTCTGATCTGATTACTGACTGACAGTCCCCTCAGATTTAAAGTCACAGACCTCCAATAAGTCCGTCTTAGTGGAACACAATGGATTCATACAGGCCTATTAAAAACAAACAAAWATACATAAATGTCACAGTATTACTCCTACACACTTTTTCCCTTTATGTGGTGAGTAAAAATTTTGAGTACTCTACCCACCTCTGGTTAAATGTAGTCACAGTCTTAACTAAAACCCAAAAGTATCAAAGCATGTAGCTAAAAGTTAAATGTAGCAAAAGCTAGAAGYTAAAAGCAGCTGAACAGTAGCTTTACTTTAATTCAGTTTAAACCTGATGTTCTGAATAATTTACTGAAAGTTTTCAGATGTAAACACTTGTTGTTGCTCCTGATTTTCTCTCACCTTCAGCTGGTTTTATGTTCTCCAGAGCCGGCGGCTTCTCTGGGTTTTTGTCGTTCTGGTCCCATTTCTTGTGGATCTGTGCAGACAGCAGAGAGACGTAAACAACCCCTGAACACAACTCCCTGTTACTAATCGTGTTTCCATCTAGTTTACCTCTCGACTGTTTGATGCGAATAAACGAGGCTACGCAACGCGATTACGTCAGACGAGGCTACGCAACGTGTGATTACGTCAGACGTCGGTGACAAGCTTTGCGGTAGTAAAC